CCGTGCGAGGGCGGCGGCGGCGGCCGGTGCCGGTGCATGTCCCGGTGGCCGTCCCGGTGCCGGTGCCCGCGGGCCATGCGGCGGCCGTAGCCATGCAGCGCGACGGGGATGCGGCGGCGGCGGCCGCGGCCTCGTACCGGGTGCTCAGCCGGCTGCTGGGCTATGGCCCCGGGCCGGAGGCGGGCGCGGCGGGCGGTGCCGGTGCCGGTGCCGGCGCGGCGGGCGCGGTGCCCGGCGCGGGCGGGCGGCTGTCGGTGCCCGGCGGGCCGCGGCCGCAGCTGATGGTTTTCCGCAACGCGGCGGCCGAGGGGCGGCCCGGCGAGGACGGCGGCCCGGCGGCGGCGGCGGCGGCGGTGGCGGGGGGGGTCCCCGGGGGCGGCGGGGCCGAGCTGTGCCCGCGGCACCGCTGCGCGCTGGAGCCCAAGGCGGCGGCGGCGGCGGCGGTGTCGGGCTGGGGGGCGGCGCAGGGGGGGCTGGAGCTGCAGCTGGCGGCGCTGGGGCTGCGGCCGCCGCCGGGGCTGGGGGCGAAGGGGGCGGCGGCGGCGGGACCCCCCTGCCCGTGCCTGGGGCCGCCCGCCGGGGAGGAGACGAGCGATGCGCTGCTGGTGCTGGAGGCGCTGGAGCCCGACGAGGCGGGCAGCGGCTCCGAGGACGAGCCGGGGTCCCCCGGGCGCGGGGCCGCCCGCAGAGCAGCCCCCGGCCCCGCACCGCAGCCCGCAGCCCCCGCGGGCACCGCCACCGGCCCCGGCGGCAGGAAGGGCTCGCTCAGGATCCGCCTCAGCCGCCTCTTCCGCACCAAGAGCTGCAGCGGGGGCTCGGCCGCCGGGGATGCCGCCAGCGCCGCCGCCACCTCGGCCGGGAGCCTCACCGACGTGTGCGGGGCCCGCGGACGGGAGCAGGAGACGGGCAGGTACGGGCGGCGCGGGTGCGGAGGGCTGGGGTGATGGGATGGGGCTGTTCCTGCGGTCGGCGGTGATGGGGAGCCGGTGCTGTGATGCCTCGCTGGAGGGTGACACAAAACACCGGCTCCGAGCTGGGATCCGGCCTCTCAGAGAAGCGCCGAGGCCTCGGTGCTCGCACGAGCCTGGCTGGAGCCCTGGAGAGGCTGGTGGAGCAGGGACACGTCGCTCCAGCCTTGCATCTGCAGTGGGGATGGTGGAGGAACATCTGGGAGCAGGACCAGGAGCAGGGCTTGGAGCATCAGTCCTGTGAGGAGCAGCTGAGGGAGCTGGGGGGGCTCAGCCTGGAGAAAAGGAGGCTCAGGGGGGACCTTCTGGCTCTGCAACTCCCTGACAGGAGGGGGGAGCCAGGGGGGGATCAGGCTCTGCTCCCAGGGAACAAGGGTCAGGACAAGAAGAAACGGCTCCAAGTTGTGCCAAGGGAGGTTCAGTTGGAATATTAGGGAAAATTTCATCATGGAAAGGGTCGTCAGGCGCTGGAACAGGCTGCCCATGGAAGTGGTGGGATCACCATCCATAGAAGTGCTCAAAGAACACGTGGATGTGGCACTTGGGGACATGGTTTAGTGGCCCTGGTGGGATTTGGTGGAAGGTTGGACTTGCTGATCTTGGAGGGCTTTTCCATCCTTCATTATTCCGTGACTGATGAGGTGATGGGTGGCTTGTGGGAGCCACTGGAGCCCCGGGATGCTGCAGGTGCAGGGAAAGCGCTGTCCCCTCTGGTGAGACCGAGCTGGATCCAAGGGACTGGAGTTCCCTCTCACTTCCCACATCCTGCAGGGTCATTTCCTGAGGCTCCAGTGGCCTCGGGGGTGGTGGGTGCTGCTCTGGGGGCTCTGCTCTCCCTCCTGGTGCTCTATGCAGGACGTGGCAGGAGGAATAATGGGCAGCCAGAGGTTGGCTGGGATGGAGAGATCCTGGGATCTACTGTGGGATCCCCATGTGTCCCCCTGTTCCATCAGCCTCGTGTTCCAGCTGTTTGGTGCCAGCTGTGGAGGGCACAGAGCTGCTCTGTACCCACTGCATTGTCCAGAAACCACTTTCCATGACATTCCCAGCAGCAGAACCGAAATCCCTCCCGGAGAAGGCCGGGAGAGCCTGCCCAGGGAGAGCCTGGGAGCAGCTTGGGATAACTGGATGGGCTCAGTGTTGCAGCACAGCCCTTTCCCTGCAGGGTTCATTATCCTCCCGTGGGGATTTTGGGGTGTGTTCCCTCCTCCTGCAGCCAAGGACCTGCTGGGGGATGAGCAGGAAGCTTTTCTCCAGGCTGGAGGTGCCGACCTGGGGTGGTGGTGACAGAGCCCCTCAGGCAGCCAGGGCAGGCCCAAATTACCTCGGAACGAGCTCCCCTTTGAAGCAGAGGATGGGTTGGGAGGTGGCAGCTCCCAGCCCTGCAGCTGGGCAGGGGTTGAGTCCTTTCTGGAGCTCCTGTGCCCCCGAGGAGCCTCCCTTGGCACGTGGGGCGTTGGAGCAGCTTTAGACAGTTCCCTGCAAAGGACTAAATGGGCCTCAAACGGGGTGCCTGTAATGACATAATGCTTGCTAATGGGCTTGTGGTTAATTGGAGGAGTCCTGGGACCTCCCAGGGCAGGGATCAGGTGGTGGAGAGCTGGGAGGGAGGGCTGGGGAGCAGAGAAACACCTGGGAATTGCTGCCTGGATTTTCTCTTGGTCAGGGAGCTGGATGGTCACTTCAGTGGTCACTTTACTGGTCACTTTTCACGCAGCTCCTTGCACTAATTAGACATTTTTTAGCAGAGGTTACTTCAAGGTGCCTGATGCAGCAACTCTTGTGGTTCAGAGAGGACTCTGCTCCTCCCAATTCCAGGAATCCCATCCTGATGATGAGGGCAGTTATTAACGATGCTTTTGCTCCCCTGCTGGTGGGACAAGGACGAGCCAGGACCTTCCCTGGGTTCTGCTGAGAGCTGGAGGTTGTTGCCTCCTGACCTGAGGCCCCCATGGATGTGGGATGGAACTGGTGCTCTCCATGAGCCAATGGATTTGGTGGTTCCTGTGGATATAACTTTTGGGTCGACTCCTGCCTCTGCTTGTTCCCAGACTCTTGTCCCTGACTGGAGCTGAAGCTGCTCCCTTGGTCTGTGGCTGGTTATTTAATTTTTAAACATCCCCAAGAGGCAGAATTCCTGCTGTTTGGGCTCGGATAGGCAGGATTCCTGCCCACCTTCCCGTGGTGCTGCCAGCCCTGGAGCCAGCTGGGTGCAGCTCTTCCCCCTCACCTGCAGCAGCAGTTTGGAAGAAAACCAGCCCTGTTATCCAAAATCCATAGCTGGGCTCTGCTGACCTGCAAGAAACTAAATATGGAAGGAGATACCAACACGTGGCTCCTCACCCAGGGCCTGGGAGTTGGGATTTAAAGGTTAAAGTAGCGAAACTGCCTATTTTGGGGAGGAATTTGTGCAGCAGAGGAGGTTGGAGGGAAAGGGGGCAGGGTTGGGCACAAGCTCAGGCAGCTGCCACCACTCGCTTGCCAGGTTGGTACCCGAATTTATCAGTTGGTCGTGTTGGTGACCCTAAAATCCTGATTTTTCTGGAGCTCCGGGCATTTCCCAGATCTGTGTGCGTGGAATTGGGATCCAGCAGAACGTGAGGAGTGTGGAATAGGTTTTTGGGGGGGGAGACTGGAGTTGGGGAGCGGAAGATTTGGTCCATGGGAACCGTTTCTTGCTCTCTCCCTGTTGCTGATGGAATGGGAAATCTGGGAAATCGAGGCTGTGAAATCTTGGCATGAAATGGAGCTGTTTTGGTGACAGGAAAATGCTCCTTTCTGGCTGCCTTGGTGGGTGGGAGCAGAGCTGTCACTGCATGTTAAGGTTGGTTGGTATTAGTCCAGAAGTGTAATTTTGGGTGTGGGTGATAATTGGTGAATTGAGGGGGGGGGGAAAAAAACCCCAAAACAACCCAACCTGGAATAGGTGTGAGAGGCTCGAAATCAAAACACTTCCACACGTTTTAATGGGGTTTTATAGAGAATCCTGGAATCATTTAGGTTGGAAAAGGCTTTGTGGTTCGTTGAGTCCAACCATTAACTCAGCTCTGCCAGGATGGTGGTGAGGGCTCTCAGTGTTTTTATTGGTGAGCAGATAACATTAAAACTGTGAGCAAAAGCGATGTGTCTGGGCACAAAGAAGAGAAGTTTGCTCACCCCAGCCCTGGATTCACGCTGTGGGAGTTCCATGCTCTGTGCCTCAGTGTTTTCTCTGCCTGGATGTGGGAAGATCCCTTTAACATTTGGCAGGAAAGGTGCTGGAAGGAGTGGGGAGAGCACAGCATTGATATAAAACCAGCTGGGAGGCGACTTCACGGGATTGCTGGTATCCCTGGCAGTCACCAGAGGGGTGTTTTCAGCTGTTTCCATCTCTTTTGGGATCTCTGGGTTTAGCTGCCCTCCCCTCCCCCTGTATTTTGGTGTCCTCCAAAGGCACAGCCACGCTCCAGGCACAGCCCCGCATTGCTCAGGGGCCCAACCTGTTTGTCCAAGGAATTTGGCAATGCCCAAGCCAGGCCAGCAGCGTGAGGTCTGTTGTGAAACAGCTCCTTGGCTCTGGCTGCTGGACTTGCTTGGGCTTTTCTTTCCAAAGGCTCCATTAATTACCTCCTTAGGGCTTTGCTTCGTGGCAGGACGGAGCCCCAGCTCTCCTGGGCCTGCCCTACTTAGGCCAAAGCCCTGCTCTGGGAGTGGGGTTGGGCTGGATGGAGCTGCTGGGAAGGAGGGACAAGGTCCCTCCTGGGCTGAGAAGGGCAAACAAAGGGTGTTTTCTTCTGCTCACCCCGTTTTCTCTTGTTCCCAACAGGAAACACAGACTGACAAGAACTCAAAGTGCCTTTTCCCCGGTCGTGTTCAGCCCCCTCTTCACAGGTGAGGAGTCGGGAGGTTCTTTCCAGTTTGGGGTTTCATTTTTTTTTTTTTTTTTTTGCTGTGAAATGTGCTGAGTGAGGAATGTTGATTCCACGAGATCCCAAACCAGGATCTCTGTGGTGTCCCTCTGGCCTGCTTGGCCTTAGACCCGAAAAGAAGGGTCTGAGAGGAAGGAGAGGGGTCTGAGAGCAAGGAGAGGGGTCTGAGAGCAAGGAGAGGGGTCTGAGAGCAAGGAGAGGGGTCTGAGAGCAAGGAGAGGGGTCTGAGAGCGAGGAGAGGGGTCTGAGAGGAAGGAGAGGGGTCTGAGAGGAAGGAGAGGNAGAGGGGTCTGAGAGGAAGGAGAGGGGTCTGAGAGGAAGGAGAAGGGTCTGAGAGGAAGGAGAGGGGTCTGAGAGGAAGGAGAGGGGTCTGAGAGCAAGGAGAGGGGTCTGAGAGCAAGGAGAGGGGTCTGAGAGGAAGGAGAGGGGTCTGAGAGCGAGGAGAGGGGTCTGAGAGCAAGGAGAGGGGTCTGAGAGCAAGGAAAAGGATCTAAGACCAAGGAAAGGGGTCTGAGACCAAAGAGAAGGGTCTGAGAGCGAGGAGAGGGGTCTGAGAGTGAGGAGAGGGGTCTGAGACCAAGCCCTGCTTCCCACCTGGACCTGACACCAAAGTCAGGTCCAACTTCTCCTCCGTGACAGTTTTGGGAATCAAAACCTCTTTGGGGATCTCCACCTCCTCCTCCTGCACGTTCTCCCCCCTTTCCCCGTGTCCTGCTGGTTTGTGACCTTCCCCTTTCTGCTGCTGGGGGGAAGTTGGCTGGTTGGTGAGGGGGGAGATCCTGCTCTGCTGGTGGCTTGGGAGCTCTGGAGCTGAAAAAAAAAAAACCTCTCAGTCAAAACAGTCCTGGCCACAGAGGGCTTGGGGGGAATCCCCAAGGAACTTGGGAAAATCCCACCTCAGGACTCTGAACTGAAGGTCACCAGCAAGTGTTTGACAGCTGTGTGGAGGGAGGTGGCCTGGGAGGAAGGTCAGACTCAGAATAAATCCACGTTGAGGGTCTCGTTGCAGAGCAGAGGGACCAGGACGTGTCTGGGCAGTGAGAGGAGCTGGAGGGTTGGTCTGGAAGCCTCTTTTCCTGCTGGGAAAGGTGTTGGACAGCAGAGCTCAGTGCATGGATTGGATTCCTGAAGAGGGAGAAGCCTTTTTTTTTTTTTTTTCTTTTTTTGGAGAGTTCTGATGAATCTCAGTGAAAACCGGTTGGAATTTCGGAGAGGTGACCTTGGAGGCAGAGCATTGGTCTGGTTTCCCTGGAACCAGTGCCTGGAAGGTTCTGAGCTGCTCCCGGGGCTCCTTGGAGCAGAATCACCCAGGGGTAATTCAGCTGTGGTGGTGCCTGGGCCCTTCCCCAGTCCCACATCCCTTCACCTGGTGCCTCTCACGTGGCTGGAGCGGATTCCTCCGTGTCCTGTGCAAATTTATTAAGCAAATTAAGGCTGGTGAAAGCAAAAAAAAAAAAAAAAGCTGCCTGTGCTGCTCTGTCAGCTGCTGCTGGGGAAGTTCTGAGGGGGGAAAAAAAAAAAAAAAAAAAAAAAAAAAAGCTGCCTGTGCTGCTCTGTCAGCTGCTGCTGGGGAAGTTCTGAGGGGGGAAAAAAAAAAACCAAACCCCATAATTCTGTGTGCTGGTGATGTGTGTGTGTGTGTGGAGCTGCTTTTCCTCACAAGAACCTGCAGAGGAAAACCTGGAGATGACCTGAGCTTTTCCTTTAAATTTCATTAATTATTAGTTTATCCCATTATCTATTTTTGAAGCGACTCGTGTCAATTTTTTCCCAGTCAGTGGAATTTAAAATGTCATTAATTATTAGTTTATCCCATTATCTATTTTTGAAGCGACTCGTG